GTGGGCTCTGCAGAGGGGATCTGTGGGGGCTGCAGTGGGGGGAGGGCCTTCAGGGAGAAGGACTGAGCTGAGCAAAGATGTGGAGGTAAGAACAAGGAGGTACAGAGTGGAAATAATGCAAAACAAAGGAAATGAATTTGCCCCATTCTCAAGAAGGGTACTGCCTTTTGAAGAACATAAGTTGCATACATCAAATCATTAGGATTAGTAAGGGAATATTAGCTATATTGTATAAAGCTAAAATGTAAAATACAACGATTCTCTAAGGCTTGATGAAATTGAAAGTTCTTGTCTTGACAATCCAGTTTTTCCTCTCTACTTGAGGTCACATCATGGCTCGAGTGTGGTGCTCTGTCACTGGTTTACCAGGTGACTGTGGGCCAGTGACTTAATTGTCTGAACTTTAGTTTCTTCTGACTATAAGCTGTGATGTAGTAGATTTTACCTTTGACGTTCTTTCAAGGCCCCATTTTCTAAGAATGTGTGTGTCAACATAGACACACTCTTTTAGAGCAGAATAGTATAAACATGGACACAGAAAGTTTGTTGACTCTAGAATACCCAGCTTTTATATTCTGTTTCCAAACCTGAACTTGAGGTGCAGCACAAAACTCTTAAGCAGATGAGCTACTCCAGCGAGGGAAAGGCTTTCGGAGAGGTGGGTAGACAGGCACAGTGTTGGTGGGAGTCCTTCTAACTACATCTGCAGCTTCATGAGCAGCAGGGTCTAGATAGTGGCAATTGTGTTGTCATGCTGTACACTCTGCTTCTGTTCTTTTTCTGGTCAATAATTTCATAATAATTATTTTTAATAGGCAGTACTAATAGGCTATCAACACTTCAGAAGTATAAAAGCTTAAACCATATAAAGAAAGTCTCCTTCCTGGTCTAGTCCTCCAGCCTCTAGTTTCCTCCCCAGAGGAAGTAACCATTATGTTTCTTTTATGATTCTTTCCAAGGTATTTTTTGAATGTACAAGTATATGCATATTTATTCTTTAAACACACATGTAATATATATGCTGTCTGCACTTTCTTACTTAATAATTATCTGAGAAGTTTTTGCATAGAACTCGAAGCCAACTTAAATAGCTTTACTCCTTTCCTCTTCTGCTAACTGCAGCCCATGATGGGGGCAATTTTAAAGTCAATAAGAACAGTAATCACAACAGATTGAAATATTTTAAATATGTTTAAATCTAAGAACTCATAGGGCTTTTTAAACAAAATTTCTTTTTATTTTTTAAATTTTATTTTTCAATTGTGTTTTACATTCAATATTATTTTGTATTAGCCTCAGGTGTGCAGCATACTGGTTAAACAATCATAGACTTCACAGAGTGTTCCCTTCATATTTCTAGTCAAAATTTCTTTGTTCATTTTTGGAGGATCGAAGAAACCAACTCATTATTCTGAAAACTGGTAAAAAAAGAAGAGACTCAAGTATTTTCCCTGCCTTTTCTTTACAAACTGAACCTCAAAGATAGCCAAATAGTTGATAAGGCAAAGTTTCTTTTATAGGCATGATAGAATTAGAGTATTACCGTTTTGCATCTAACCAATTAATGGATTTAGGCAATAACCATCAATGGCTGCTCCCATTGCAAAAGAGAGGCAACCAGACATCATGTGCTTCCTGTACCCAGACACTGAACATATAAGAAGTGAAGAGTATTAGAGTAAAGTCATCATCTCCCTCCCCTACCCATCTGCATCACACCCTCCCTCACTTCCCCCCACCTTTTAACTATTGCATTTAAATTTTGGATATTGCCCAACTGTGTTCCACAGAGGTTCTAGCAATTTCTACTCCTACCAGCAGTATGTGAAAATGCATTTTTCTTATACTCTTATCAGTATGTGATTAAATATTTTTACTCTTGTCAATCTGAGGTTAAAAATGGTATTTTGTTATAGTCTTGTGTACCCCCCACTTTTTAAAAAAAGATTTTATTTATTTTTAGAGAGAGGGGAAGGGAGGGAGAGAAGGAGAGAAACATCAATGTGCGGTTGCCTCTCAAGCACCCCCACCGGGGACCTGACCCACAACCCAGGCATGTGCCCTGTCTGGGAATTGAACCAGCAACCCTTTGGTTTGCAGGCTGGCACTCAATCCACCGAAGCACAGCAGGGTAGTATTTCACTGTAGTCTTAAATTGTATTCTGTGTCTTGTATTGATATCTAGCATCTTTTCAGATTTTTAAGGGTAATCATCTTATCTGTAAAGTGTCTTTGCATATTTTTGGTCTTTCCTATTGATTGATTTGTGGAGGTTCTTTTCATATCAGAGAAATTAGCCATTCATCTGTAATATAAGTTAATAATAATTTATCCCACTTGGTTTTCTTTTGATTTTAATTTTGCTCATAGTGGGGTTGGTTTTTTCCATTTAGATTTTAAAAACATTTTAATGTAGTTGAATTATCAGCCTTTTATGACTTCTAGATTTTGTGCTATCAAAAGCTAGATTTCAAAAGTCCTTTCCACTTTGAGATTGTAAAAATACTGTTTTTTTTTATTTCCCCTGTAGTTTTATTATTTTTTATGTCAAAATCTCTGATTCGTCTGGAATGTGTTTTGATGTAAGGAGAGAGATAGGGCTATAACTCAGTTTTTGCTCAGTACATACCGAGTTGTCACAGAACTGTTTATTGAATAACCTATCTTTTCTACAGTAATTTAAAATGTCACCTTGTCATATACTAAATTCTAATATTTATTTCTGTTTCTGAACTTTCTTGTTTATTTAATTGACATCTGCCTATTCACATATCAGAGACACATAGTTTTAAGTTTTGAAACTTTATGTATTAATACTTTAGAGAACTAATACCACTCCCGCTTACACATACACACACACTGCCTTTAGAATTTTCATGGCTATTCTTCTATATTTAGTTGTCCTTATAATATTTATAATGAATTTAATTAGTTCTCAAAAACATCATGATTTTTTATTGGAATTGAGTAAAATTTACAGATTTTCATAAAGAGACTTGCCATCTGTTGTGCTTTACTAAATGAACTGAAATAGAATAGAAATATAAATTACTGCATTTTTGTTGGGGAAACATCAGTTGCATAAGATGTAGTCATTTTTTAAACAACTAATTCAGCCTGTGTTGCAGACCATTTATCATTTCCTGGGGAGAAAGCAAATAAGTTCATTGTAGGTAGTCCCCTAGGCTCTTATCCATTTGTTAAGGTCAAGGTTCACCTCATGTGAAGAAATTTTAGTTTCAGCTGACCTCCAGTGTCGTGTTAGCCAACAGAGTCATGTGGTTGCTTCAGTGTCATTACAATCTTGAGTGGCATTAGAGGACGTATAGAAAGGGGGAAGTGGATTGTAATGAGTGAGTGGTTCTGGCTCTGGAATCAGACAGCAGTGGTACCCTGTGACCTCGGCAGGTTATTTAATCTCTTCTTTTCCTCAGCTGCAAAGTGAGGGGATGTTAGTTGTACCTAACTCCTGGGATTGTGTATGAGGCTTAAATGAAAGAATTCAGAATGCTTTTGCACTTTGCCTGGTACACACTGGTGTCCTGTAAATGTTAACTAATAGCATTTATGTTGGAAATCTGACTCCACTGCTCTGATGGTATCTGATTTACTATGTTCAGTTCCTGATGTCATTACTTAGGAGAGGCAGTAGGAAAAGATCTCTACAAGAGGGCAGCCAGGTGATAAGAAGAGGGTGGCCTAGAAACATGAAAGGTATGGTGGGCCTTTTTACTGGAAAAGAGAAGGTGAGTGAGAAACAGGGAGTCCAGATGCTTATTTCGTATTAGTTCGGGAGCAGGGACTAAGACCAGCTAGTGAAATTCAGCTTAACAATGAGAAAAAACTTATGGCAGCTGCATCTGTTCAGCAACGGAAAGACTGCAGTGAGCTGCCTGTCAGAAGAAATGTTCAGGAGGAATCTGGGTAGCCATTTGCTAAAGGAACTGCAAAAAGAATTTCTGAATTAGGAAATTGAGGCTAAATGACAATCACCTACAGCATTTTCCTACAAAATTCTAGTATAAATAAATGTATGTAGATGCAATCTCATATGTAGAAAATTCTCTGTGTATGGCTCATTCAAACCTTTTTGATCCTTTTTTTAAAGATTTTGTTTATTTATTTTTAGAGAGAGGGGAAGGGAGGGAGAAAGAGAGGAAGAGAAACATCAGTGTGCGAGAGAAACATCATTGATCAGCTGCCTCTTGCACACCCCCAGCTGGGGACTTGGCCTGAAACCCAGGCATGTGCCCTGATGAGGAATTGAACCATTGACCTTCCTGTTCGTAGGCTGATGCTCCATCCATTGAGCCCAGCCAGGGCTCAATCCTTTTTTGAGTAAGACTGTTTTGGGGTGAGCAGGGGTGACCATCAAAGAAATGAAGATATGGAGAAATAAGGAGACTCAATGAGCTTGTTTCACTTCTGTCTCTTTGTCTGTTGTTACCTTGGAGACAAGTCCTGTATCTTCTGAGTCCCCTTCTCTTCATATTAATCCTTGAGCATGAGTCTTTAAAAGAACAAGCACATTATTAGAAGTTTTCTGCCTCTTAGTGTGTGTGGGGCTTTTTGAATAAAGGTGCTATTTGCACTTAGCAGACAAATGACAAGTTTAAACAAAAGAATATGATCCCATAAACTTGACTTTGCTCCGTTTATCGTTTATCACCAATGCACTTCCCTGTTATCCTTAAGTTTCCTGCTACTCTTTTATTTCAGTAAATGTAACCATAGTATGTTAGAAAAATTTAATAAGTTTATAAATAGAGGTAATATTTAATAGCCTGCTTTTTTTCAGATTCATCTCCTGATTTCTTTCTGGCAGGCCATTATTGGTGACTTGCCCTAATTTCCAAAGTTAGGTTCTGTGAAACCTTTCTGCTGTCAGTGGATATACGTGCCTGTCGCATTGGGGGCACTGTGTTATCACATTAAGTAAAAAACCTAGTAGAGGAGAATATAAATCTTAGTTGATCTCTAAAATATTTCTGTATTTCTAGTGACTGATGAATCTGCTGGAGCCACGGATCCTGAAGAACCTTCTGTTGTTGGTGTGACATCCCCACCTGCTGCAGCCTCGAGTGTTACCCCAAACCCTACCGCAGAGTCTCTCCCTGCTCCGGCCACGCCAGCTGAAGGAGAGGAGCCCAGCACCTCGGGCACACAGCAGCTCCCGGCGGCTGCCCAGGCCCCAGATGCTCTGCCTGCTGGGTGAGTAGCCTTCTGTCCCACAACAGTGCTTCCCACCCCTCCAAAGACTGAGGCTCCTTCAGCGAGGCAGAAACAACGTGGTTATTTATTACCTAGTGGCTAGGAGTCTCTGGGGAGGCTGCTATGCTTAGGACCGAGGGAGGTGTGGAAGAACTGCTTGTTCTACAGAAATCTTAAAGAGAATCTAAATCATCGGGGGCAGAATCAATGCTACCTTATACTGTGACGAGAAATGAACAGCTTGACTCAAAGCATGTGGCTTTTATAGAACAAGAAACTTATTTTGCCTTCTGAAATCATTGAAGAGTGTTTGCCTAGATCCTGCTTAGAAAACTGCTTTTCTCTCTTGAATTCTATCTTAACAGCCTGTGGAGGACTTTAGGCTCTGAATATTACTGTATATTATTCCCACAGCTGGTGCTGGTACTAGCATGGACTACTAGTTTCCTTGCCATACTTTAGTTCAGTATTAAATCTGATGGTATAGCCCTTGGATGCTAAGAAGATGGCTCTGGTAAGCCAAAAGGAAATTCAGTTTGGCTATATAGTGAGTGCAGATTAAAAACGTGGACCCAGGAATCAAATGGAACTAGGTTTGAATCCCCACTTGACTCTGTTTGACCTTGCCTCAGGGGCTTACCGTCCCGGGAAGGTGGAGATAACAATGGTGCACACCTCCCAGAAAGTTAAGGGACTAGATAAGGTGGTGTATGTGAAGCTGTCACCCCATGGTGGGCATTGCACCTGGTGAGTGATGTTTTCGAAGTGGTTGTGAAAGAATCATGATGGAAGGGAATGGTTCTAAACTGGAAATGAAGCCTACTCTTAGGTCTACGAGTCAGAGCGAGACTGGTCCCTCTGTGGACCTGCTGTGCGTCCTGGTTATCAGCGTGGTCCCGAGGAAACCAGTGTCTGTCGCCACAGTCTCCACAATCTGACTGGGGGGGGGAGGGCGGTGCGGGGGGGTCCTCCGAGCCCTGTAACTCATAAGGGAAGAGGTGGATGGTCCCTTCTTTGGTGTGTAATCTGCTGTATTGTCTTTAAGCTACTTTACAAAACCCAATTATTAAAACAAAAATCCAGAATCTGAAGGCACATGTGGCTTTTTACTACATATATATTCCATCTCCTTACCATTTGGCACACTACTTGACTCATATTTCTTAATAACGTGTGATGAACAAATGAAAAGTATTGCAAATAGTTCCTAATCCCTCAGACCTGGAGTGAATTGAGGGTATTGAGAGGTGGCTCAGAAAAGTTTTTTATGATGGTTTTGATTTTGTGGAAAGATTAATAACCAATTGCTGTGTCCAACTCCTCCCTACTGAGATTTCTGTTCTCTTTTGTGTGGTGAGGACTACTCAAAAGACCTTCGTTTGGTTAATAATCTCAAATCTGTATATAATTTGGGGGGAACAGAGCAAAATCGTTTTGGCAGAAAGAAGAGAAAATGGCCGCCCGGGTCCCCTGTGAGCTGTTTGTTTTCTTCCCGCCGAGCGAATGCCTGGAAGGCCGGCTTCACTCCTGTGTCAGTCACAGGCAATTAGGGCTAATGGCTCAACGTGTCTTTATGTAGGGCGTGTGTGAGGCTTACTGTTCTCTGGGATTGGGCTCTTCCTGTTTCCAGGCAGCTGGAAAACTCCAGGCTCTGAAAACACTCTTTATTCTAAGTTTGGCGGATGGAGTGGCCCAGGGAAGCGATTCTCCTCCCTCGCCCTGCCAGAGGCTGCAGCACTTTCTGGAGGGAGAGTTTGGTCAGCATCTTTTCCTCAGAGTGCTTAGAACATGACAAGGCCTGTGTGTGGGTCTGGGGAGGCTGCTGCCTACTTTAACATGTGTGCCGGTCCAGAGAAGGGTGCTGGGGCCCTTCCCGGGGTGCCCATCCATCCCTGAGACGCCAGGAGGCCAGAGATCCTGAGCTGCTGGTCCGGGCGTTGCCACCAGCTGTGCGGAGTGCGCGGCGTGAGCCGGGCAGGCCTTCAGCCCTCTGCTCTGTGAAGGCAAAGGGTGCATGTTCTGCAGTGACCCTGGCAATTTCTGACCATTGTCCCCACCCCAGCTTATTTACAAGTTAGGAGATCCAGACGGGATAGGTTATTCCTTTACTCCTGGTATCGTGGCTTCTGGAGTCAGGACCAATTTTAACCTGTTTATTTGTTTGTTTTTTTAATCCTCAGCTGAGGACATGTCCATTGATTCCGGAGAGAGAGGGGTGGGGAGAGAGAGAGGGAGGGAGGGAGAGAGAGAGAGAAACAAACATTTATGGGTTGCCTCCCAAACATGCCTGGACAGGGACCAACCCGCAACTTTTAGGTGTACAGGACAGTGCTCCACCCAACTGAGCCACGCCAGACAGGGCGATTTTAACCTTGTCAAATAAACCTCTGAGCCTGACATTTCACCACTTAGAATGCCTCGTTGGCTTCATTGTCTTAAGGCAGCGATGTTCAACAGTTTGTGCTGAAAGAATTTTTAAAACACCTAATGCCCGACTATTTAGTTAGGGACACTGACCTCTTTTCCCTTAGAGTGTCAAATAAATGACAACACAACAGTAGCTGTCCAGAGTGAATGGATCAAAATTACACCAATTTTTAGGTCAGATCAGCAAAAACAGATTTTTTGGTGTGCTACAAAATTTTAATAATTAGTTCATGTGTGCCACGAGATGAAAAAGGCTGAAAATTGCTCTCTTCAGGGATAAATTCGCCCTTGGTGAGAAGCCCTGGGAAGCCCTGCACGATAGACCGCATCCGCCCCTCAGGCCCAGCGCTGCTCTGCTCCCCGTGCTCTGGCCACAGTAACTGGTCTCAGTTCGAGGACTGCACCGCCCCTTCTCTGTCCGCGGGGCCTTCTGCCATGCTAGTTGCTGTTTTTGTAAACTTCCTCACTACTTTGTCCGTTAATTCCTGTCCATCTTCGGGTCTCATCACCATTTTAAAAACCAGAACTTCTGTGGGAATTCTTCCTTGATTCCTGGGGGACAAGGTCAAACACGCCGAGTACGGTACCTCTGCTCACTTGTGTAATTGCTTGTTTCACGCCTCTCTGCCCTGCTGGGCTGTAAACACCAAGATGGCAGGGAGCCTGGCACGAAGTAGGCCCCAGTCATATTTGTAATGAATAAATTTAAATGCCACCTTTTCTTTTCTCCAACTGGATGAATGTTTTCTGCTTCTTCAACACCTCAAAGAAAGAACTGTGACAGGAGTATTGCATTTCTTCCCTAGAGCAAGAGCTTAAGGATCGTTCACTGGGTGGACTGGCTTTGTGTTGAAATACGTGTCTGGCACAGGGTCAGGAAGCCCTTCCCTGCTCACTGGGGGTCCTCATGCACTGGGAGATACCTTGGAGCTCGGCTCCTCTTTCCTGAGGCATTCCTGAGTCCCAGTAGAGGGCTCTTTCAAGGCATCCAGCTGACTTTGTCTCTTTCCAACTTTATCTTCTCAATTCTTTCAGTCTCCTTCACTGAGCAATCAAGCAAGGTTCACTTGGGGATCCCAAGGGCTTATTTTTCCAGTTGCTGAGTTGCCTTTCTGAAGCTTGCAGCAGAGGAAACTAGCCATAAAGAGGCCACACATGCGTGTATGTTTTAAGAACTAAAGGCTACCGAAGGCCGGCTGCTTAAGTCCAAATAGAACTCCCCTGATCCCCTTTCTCCTCGTCTCTAAACCCTCCTGCTTTCTGTGCTTTTAAATTTATTTAGCATGAAAGGAGCCAACTGTAAGGGTGTCTTCGTTTGCAGCTTGCAAATGTCTGTTAATGGCAGGGATGCCAGGAAGGCTCAGGAGACATGGTGAGATAGTGTGGTCCAGGCAGTGGCCGTGGGGAGTGAGGCCACTTTGATCAGTTGGCCCTGCATCTGGTTTTTATCAGCACTGAGCCCACTTTGGGGACTGAAGGCTCATTAACAGACCCTGTGTACAAGGCTTAGATAAACTCCAAGCACGTCCCAGGCTTTGCAGCTTACTCAGTGCCTCACACACAGAGGCACATTATTTCACCCTGGCAGACCGCGCTCCGCTGTGGTTTCTTATATAAGGGAGGCCGTTGTGCTTGGACTGCCGGCTTACCTCAGCACTGCCATTTCACACCATCCCTTCTCCCACAGTCATTGGCCGCCCTGTCCCTTCCTGCCTCAGGGAAGAATTAACTGAGGAGGGGTGCTTTCTGGGTCTTTTTGATGTGCCATCTCCCCTACTGCCAAGCCCAGTTATGGAGACCCAGAGGCCCTTTCTCCAGGTGGTCTCTGAGACACTGTCGAGGATGACAGCCTTGTGAGAGGTCTTCGGTGTTTTATTTGTAGACATGCTTTAAGAGATGTTGGAATTTGGAGCTTCTCTGCTGAGCTATAAACCAGCCGCCACCATCGATTTTCATTCCAAACAGTTTTGGCACTAGCCAAAGGTCCTTACCCAAGGAGTTTAAAACAGTGCTTCTCAAACCATCTGTGAAGAACCAACCCTTTTCCCTGTTTTCTTTGTTTTACTTTTTTTTTTTCAGTCTGTTACAGGTCTTTGCTTTTGTTCTCTATTCGGTGAGACAAATCTATTGATTACACATTTCAGTGTGGCAATGTCAAATTGATATGAAAGTTTCTCAATGCTCAGAAACTTCTGAACTTTTCTGGTGGCTGAACAGTGACAGTTTGGGCCATGGACCATACTTTGAATAGCGCCATTTAAAAGGATTATACTGGCAGAATCTGTGCCTTTTTGTTGAATAGGGTTTAGTTTTTGATGTACATGCTTAAGTAATACCAAGTAGTAGATGTTTCTGACTTCCTCATCATCATCTCAAAGCAAAAGCTTTTTTTCCAAAGGTTCTGCTATTGCTAGGGCTGGTCCATGAGATGTTCTCAACCTATTATATGTATGTATTCCTATGTAATAGTGAATTTTCTTTTTTATTAAACTTTCGTGAGAGCTGCTCAAGAGCTGGGATTGTTATGTCCACCTTTGTAACCCTAGCACCCAGCATAGTGCTTGGCTTCTAGG